ATCAGTGGTAGAGTCCTTGCCTAGCACATGTGAGGCACTGGGTTTGATATTCAGCACCACATAATAAATAAGTAAAATAAAGGTATTGTGTCCATCTATAACAAAAAAAATTTAAGAAAAAGAAAAATGAAATCAGCACAGTGATTATAAAGTTGTTCCTGATATTCATAATATACATTTTGTCTACTGAGTTTAAATTATAAATTATCTTAAAAGGCAAGGTTATCTATAATCTATATCATTAAAGGGTACAAGAATTTTCTCCTTCATTGTAAAGGATTTTCTAATTCATTGTGATACTGATAGTCAAAAGAATTACATCCTGAATGCCTTCATGGGGCCTTTTAGATGCAAACAAACTAGATCTAGAGTTTGTAGCTATAGTCTTTTCTGGCTATTTCCTGCTATGGCATTGTCATAATCCCTATGCAGCCTTCCACACAATCCTAACATGCTATCCTCCCAAGTATTTTTGTCACATCAGGTAAACTGATATTTCTTTGTAGCTCACTTTAATCAAGATCACATAAATTAAGTTTCCCACCTTAATACCTCTGCATTTTTAGTATATTCTTTTTGGAGGCCAATGAATGCCTAATAAATATTTCCTTCTGTTGCACTGTCTGGCACTTAGCAATACAACAGATTATTTGGGGTTCTAATTCCCCCTTGAGTTCTTGGCCTTTAAAATTTGGCATAAATCTCAGGATCTAAAAATTATCAGCCAGACTATTCTATCTTTGACATCTGGCTGAATAAAGTACCAGACTAGCCCAGTGTGGTGGCTTGCATCTATAATCCCATCAACTTGGGAAACTGAAGCAGGAGGATTGTAAGTTTGAGGACAGCCTTGGCAATTTAGCAAAGCCCTAAGCAATTTAGCAAGACCCTGTCTCAACATAAAAAATAAAAAGGGATGGGGGCTGGGGTTGTGGCTCAGCGGGAGAGCACTCACCTTGCACATGCAAGACCCTGGGTTCTATCCTCAGCACCACATAAAAATAAATAAGTGAAATAAAGGTATTGTGTCCAACTACAACAAAAGAATTCAATAAATAAATAAAAGGGCTGGGACTATAGCTCAGTGGTTAACCACCCCTGGGTTTAACCTCTTGCACCCAACCAAACACACACAAAGTAAACATACATAGAAAAGACAAAGCTAGCACAGACTTATAGTATTTCTCCTTAATTACATGTGAAACTCATGTATAACTGTATTCTTTTAGCCGTTTTGAAAAATATAAAATAGAAGGCATCAGATTATTCATCCCCATAAAGTAGTTTGTTAAATAGTGTTAGATTCTCTCCCCCCCCATATCAGTCCTTGATAACTTACTAAAGATGATCAATTATTATTTATTTCATCTGGCTCACTCAGTGCTAACTAAGAACCCAGTTACTTACAATCTGTTGTAAACTATTTTTAAAAACATCTCTTGATAGCTAACATTTTAAAGGAAAAAAATGATATGGGGTACAGTCTATAAGTGTGGAGAAAGTACAAGTCTCTAGATCCCAAGAATACTATATTTATATTACAGATACATGTGTTTCCATGAAACCCTTTTTCAGTGTCTCCTTTTGTTTATAAGGAGAGAGGCAGTTATATATCTAAGCTAAAAAAAGGATGCTGAAAATAATCTAGACAAGATGCCAGCTAAACTAGGGGAAAGACAGCATTCTTGCAAGTATCCCAACCAACAGTCTTCTTTTATATGTAGCAGCTGTAAATGCAGAGGACCACCAGAGTCCAAAGAAAATGGAAAGGTTGTCATGATTTCACTTGTCTGAACCTCTTTCCAGTCTCTTTTCCTGTTTTCTAATGTAGCCAATATCCTCCTACTGTGCTTTGGCTGCCCAAGATACATACTTCCCTCTTCTCCAACTGAATGCTTGAATATTTAGTAGTTTTTTGTTTTGTTTTGTGTGGGGATTTTTGCTGTTTTATATTTGTTGTATTGGGATTGAATCCAGAGCCTACACATGCTAGACAAGTACTCCATCACTGAGATACGCCCCCCAGCCCCTCTTTGTTCATTTGATTTTGAGACAGGGCTCACTAAGTTCCCCAGGTTGGACTCAAACTTGTGATCTTCCTGCCTCCGTTCTCTGATTTGTGAGGATTACAGGTATGTACCATCCTGCCTAGGCAACTAGCTTTTATTTTTTTTTTTTTGGGGGGGGGGGGAGTATTGGGGATCAAACCCAGGGCCTTGCACTAGGCAAATGCTCTTCCACAGAGCTATATCCCCTGTCCCAGCAGCATTTCTATAAATGAGAACATCAGACAAACCCTTGATTAATCATAATTTATCATGATATTACTAAGTGACGAAGACTTCATAGTTCTGTTAACCAAATGTATATTTTATATTTGGTTAGAAGAATACCTAGAAGAAGGGAAAGCCTCCTATTTTAATAATTTAGTTAAAATATAAATATTACCACAGCATGTATTGTTATTGTCTTTGAATATGCTTCCATGTGTTAAGGTTTTGAAAAGTTTGAGGTTCATCATAGTCAAATATAGTTACCATGATTTTCAGAGAGGTAAACCCTGTTTCTCTTACTTTAGTGTACACTCCTTGAAGGCAGATGCTGTATTTATATATTGGTTTCTCCCACAGTACTTCCTTGGGTCTTTTCAGAGAAAACACTGAACTGGAAAAAATAGAACAGAATTCTTATCAACAATTTAAATATAACCCTAATTCCCTGTTCTAACTTAGACCACACACTACTCTCTTCATTATCCTGCAAGGCCATGTTTGCAACTGCCTGTTGGGATATCTTCATGAGTCCTCAAGCAGATTAAATTTTGTGTTAACTAACACTGAACTAATTTTCTTCCTATTCAAATCTGTTTATTTTCTTTTGTAATAGAAAGATAACACATGAGGCTCCAGATCTCAAAAACGACTCTGTAATTCCTCTTGTATCCTTTCCCTCCTCGTTGTCCTGCTGTTGTTTTTGCATAGGACTGGCCCAAGTCCTTGTTACCTCTTCCTAGTGATTGCAGTAACTTTTCTTCTTGGCTGGGAATATAACTCTGTGGGTGAAGCACTTGCCTAGCATGGGAGAGGCCCTGGCTTCAATCCCCAGAACTGGAAAAAAAAATATTTTTAAAAAAACACTTATTTTTCTTCATTGCCTTCATTGTGTGGTCCATTTTAAACACTGCCTGAGCAATTTTTCTAAAGCATAATTCCAGTCTTGCTTCATTCCTACTCTTGAAGACTTCAGTGGCATTCCCAGTGGTTCAGCATGGAACCAATCCTCAGGAACCATACAATCCAGCCTGTCTCTGTCCACACTATTTCTTCTTGTTTTCCTTTATACCTCATCCCCATCTTTGCCTGTTTATCCCAGATTTCTCTAACAGTTTCTAGTTATGATTTAGTCCTTTCTCCCTTGTTCAGTTTGAGTAGATTCTCCTCTATGCTCCTATAGTCTTATAGTTCATAAACTTTCATATGATTCTTATCACATTCTGTCCTTGAGAGCAACTTTTCTTGTTTGAGATTGCCCCACCACTTCTGGTATAGTGACTTGCATGCAGTTAATACTGTTTGTTGTTGACATGGATTCCTGCTTATGGATCTCTAAAGTGTCTCCAGTACACATCATTCTGTTGTCTATGATACTTAAAATTTTTTTTCAGTTGTAAGTGGACACAATACCTTTATTCTATTTATTTTTATGTGATGCTGAAAATTGAACCCAGAGCCTCACACATGCTTGGCAATTGCTCTACCACTGAGTCATACCCCCCAGCCCCTGTCTATGAAACTTTTAATGTAATTTTCTAAAGGAAAATATTATCTATGAACTTTCCCATATAAGAGATAGTTTCTACTAGAATTTTGTTTTAAAGATAGAGTTAGTAAAAAACCTAAATATCAAATTCCCTTTCCTTTGGAATAGGAGTTGGTCATGGCATATAAGAACCAATCTTGAAAAACTATTTTTTTATTTGTATTTCTAGAAACACTTTCTACTTAAAGTGACTATAATTTGTATCTTATTGTCCATATACAGATCATTTATAAATAAAAATTAGCATTGTAAGTAATGTTAATATGTATTATATTTATACAAAATAAATCTACTATAATATTACTACTGGTGTGATGTCTTTTAAACCCTACCATTTTTCAGTTACTTTTTTTTCTTCAGTAATAGGGATTGAATCCAGGGATGCTCAATCACCAGAAGCTACATTCCCAACCCTATTTATTTATTTATTTATTTGAGACAGGGTTTTGCTAAGTTGCTGAGGCTGGCTTCGAATTTTTTATTTTCCTGCCTCGGCTTCCTCAGAGTAGCTAGGATTACAAGTGTGGGCCACCACTCTCCTCTATATTTGTTTTACCTAACATGGATTTCCACCCTGAATCTGTGGCTGCTTTCCTATAGCTGATCTATGTTAAATGCCGAAGAAATTTCAAGGAGAGCTTATCCTAAAGTTTAAACTACACAGTACTTTGAAGACAGGGCGGGGCTTCCTATCACAAGCAGCCACTGTCAGAATGTGAGGTTCTGGTAGTGCCATTTCATTTCACAAATCTTGAGGCCAGAAGGTATTGATTGTCTCGCGTACTTGAAATACACCATCAGAAACAACATTCTAATGATATTATTGCTCCATTAGTCATTATTTCTTTATGCACAATAGTTAAGTAAACTCTACTATTTCTTTACTACCTGATTCTGCCTCAGATTTTTATATTAAGGGAAGTTTAAATATCTGGGATATACCAGACTCGTTTGTTCTCTAATAGAATGTAATGTAAGAGCATTTAGCAGAATCCAGTTTTCCAGAAATTAGAAATAGAACTGCATAAAACCTAGTCGGTTAATGTTATTACTCAAATCTGAAACATTGACCCCAAAATGCCTTCAATAGACTACATTTGGCAAACACTAAGCTAAAGGGCACACATCACTTGTAAAAGTGGCTGATGGGCAAGCAGATCTGGCGAGCCGTTTCCCTCCAAGCCGACAGGGGGCGGCCGACTCTCAGGGGCGCTGCTCCACTCTCCAGTCTCTCCGCTCCACCCAGGGAACGTCACGACCCCCTCTCGCTGCTTCTCCACGTCGTTATTGCGCAGGCGTGGATTGGAGAGCTCACGGCCGAGCCGAGGGAGGGGTCACGAACTCTGACCCCCCCACCCAAAACACAAACCCAGAAAGCTGTTTACCCCTACTTCGCCTCGGTTCCCCACTCCCTTCAGCTTTCTCCAACTCTCCTCCCGGGGCGTCTTCCCCACCCAGCTGCCGCCGCAGCGGGACTGTCGGGTCGGCGCCCGACTGAGGAGTTAGTGCAGCGGAGAGACGCGGGTAAGAAGTGCCGGGTGGGGGGACAGGGCCGTGACGGCGCCTGGGAAGGGGTCGGGAGTGCCCCTTTATCCTAACTGCCAACGGACGCAGCCCTAGCGCGTTCGCACTGCCTGCGGTCGCCGCCCGGCCCTGCCGATCTGTTCAGAGTGCCGCGGCGGGCTGCTCGGGTCGGGCCGCGGGTGCGAGGAGTGGCCGGAGCGTCGTGGCCCCCAGAGAGGCTGAGGCCTTGTAGTCGCGGCGGGATACGGCGTCAGGCTAGAGACCGGGGCGGCCGGGCGCGGGGACTGCGAGCGAGCGGCGCGGTGCACACGGCTCCCTCTCCCGCGGCACCTCTGACCTTTCACCTACAGGAAAAACTTCCGTCTCGGCGGCGCCACCGCCGCCGCTTTCCCCGCCCCGGGAAGCCGAGGGCGCATGGCGGCGGCGGGCCGGACGCTGGAGAGGTGCATCTCCTTCTCTGGGCCTGGAACCCTTTCTCCGTGGCCGCGGACTGATTCCGAGCTTACACAGTAAAGATAGAATGGCGCTCTCCACTCTCACTTTTCTCTCACGACAAATAGAGGCGAGAGTAGCCTCTGCCTTAGGACCTCTGAATTTTAGGGGAAAAAAAAAAAAAAAACGGAATGGCCCAGGGTCCTCGCTGCAGTAGACATGTCCAAGCTACCAGTAGCTCTTTTGTTAAGAACTCTGCCTCCAACTCGCGCAAACATCACTTTATGAAATACAAATGTTGCCAACTCGCCCCGTAACCTTCAGTAAGTAGGTCAGCATGTAAAGTAACTGGAAGAGAAAAGCAGGCTTGAAGTTAAGGTCTTTAGGGCTTTTGCTTCCCCGGAAGTTGTAAGTATACCTCGGATTTTGAGGTTATTTTAGCATTGTCTACTTGTGTGTTGGGTGATGCACGGTTGATTTTGAATTTGGTTTATATGTGCAGTTGTTGGATCTGAAAGAGAGATTGTGGATCAGTTCAACTCAAGACAATGAAAGGAAAAAGAACTTTGGGGTCTTAGAAATTTGCAGTTGGGGAGACACATATTCAAATAGCTCTGAATCCGTGTTTCAAGGATGGTGGGCACTTACGTGAGTTGTTGAATGTTGAAAAAACAAGGGCTCAGTGAACTACAAAGATACAAAAAGGAACATATATGCTTAGTAAAAAGGCCCATAAAACAAGGGTCTAATAATATTTTGGTGTGCATCTTGAATCTGTGAGTATAATGTAATTTTCCAGTTCTGGTCATTCCAGAGTCTTGTGGTCGAAGTATGGAGGTGACCAAAGTTCACATTCCTTGGCAGCAGCTTGAGTCCTGCTTCCTTTATGGCTTCCACACCAATTTTGAAAGATCTTAACAGTGTTGCTTTCATTGTATTAACAAAAATTTTTCTGTTATAAAAAGTATCACGGGAAGGGGCTGGGGCTGAGGCTGGGGCTCAGCGGTTGCACACTTGCCTAGCCTGTGTGAGGCACTGGGTTCTATTCTCAGCACCACGTATTAAAAAAAAAAAAAAAAAAAGTACCATTTGAACCCTGGGCCCCAGGTGCACACAGTTATAATTCCAGCTCAGCTGCTCTGGAGGCTGAGAGAGGAGAATTGGGAGTTCAAAGCCAGCCTCAGCAAAAGTGAAGCACTAAGCAACTCAGTGATACCCTATCCCTAAATAAAATACAAAATAGGGCTGGGAATGTGATTCAGTGGTCGAGTGCCCCAGAGTTCAGTCTCAGCTATCCAAGGGGTGGAGGGTATCACATGAAATGTAACTCATTTCATTATTCATTGTAGAACATTTTGGTATCTTAAGGGTTTTGAGGAAGACACAAGTCAATGTTTCCTGAGAAACCTATTGATGGTGTGTGCCACACAAAGTATATGATGCCTATCCAAGGGAAATAAGAAAGACTAAAGAAAAAACAGCATACAATAAGTAATGGTATATGTATGAATTTTTTGCCTTTATTGAGTCATATGACCTACAGTCTTTTTAAATATTTTAGGAACCATCTTTAGAAAATTGCAACTCTATATAAAAATTTTACATGTTAGTAATGAATGGAAGTCTCTTCCTGAATCCTTGTTAACAATCTTACTGTACACAATGAATGCTACACCAATCTAGACATATTGGGTAAGCCAGGTGTGGTGGCACATGCCTATAATTTCTGTTACTCTAGAGGCAGAAACAGGATCACAAGTTTGAGGCCAACATGGACATCTCAGTGAGACCCTGTGTCAAAATTAAAAGGGCTGAGAGTGGGCTGGGGTTGTAGCTTAGTGGTAGAGCACTTGCCTCGCATGTGTGAGGCACTGCGTTCAATCCTCAACACCACATAAAAATAAATAAATAAAGATATTGTGCCCATCTACAACTAAAAAAATACATGTTTTTTTTTTTTTAAAGGTTGAGAGTAGTTAAGTGGGAGAACACTTCTAGCATTATTTTATGGCTCTGGGTTAATCCCCAGTACCACAAGAAAAGGGCAAAAAGGAAGAAGAAAGAAAAATTGGGTAAAAAAGTGTTGGAACTAAATCTCAAAGGTCAAGTTGAATTTAAATGAGGGAAGAGGAAATCAAAATGGTATATTCAGGAATAATAGAAAATAAAACTCCCTTATCTGGAGTTTTCCTTTCCATGGTTTCAGTTATATATAATCAACTCCCAAAATTTTACCTCAAGAATTCCTAAGTTGGGGTTCTCGGGCTGGTTTTTTGAAAATTATAGCACTTAAAATGGTTTGTAGTATGAATGAATGTGAACTTGGGTTTTTCTGCTGAGGAAACCTTAACTTCATCAGATTTTCAAAGGGACCTATTCCACCTCCACAAAAGAAAAGAGGAGAATTGTTATTTTATATCATATTTTCAGATCTTACAACATACCACACAAATAAGTTTTGCATAATATATACCAAATTGAAATAGTTTTCTTCAGGATATTTCTGTCCCTTAAAAATCTGATATGCGGGCTGGGATTGTGGCTCAAGTGGTACAGCGCTTGCCTAGCACCTGCAAGGCACTGGGTTCGATCCTCAGCACCACATAAAAATAAAATAAAGATATTTTAAAAAAAAAATCTGATATGCTATTTCTATATATGCTATTTATTTTTTTATGCACTGTGTTCGATTCTCTTCCTTCTTTTCTTCTTTCTATTCTAGTTGCGGTCTACTAAATTATTTTACCCATGCATAAACAGGTCACAATACAAAGATTGCAAAATAGTGCTTTGGGTGATAGTAGCCTATATTGAGTATGGGAGTGGGACTGGAAAGAATGGGGACAAGGAGCAGATGTTAGGAAAATAAATTAACCGTATCAGATATAGAAGTTGAGTCAAAAAGCAATGTTAAGTTTCCTAATCTGAATGGAAAAGGATGGCACCATCTACATCATAGGCTTTTTCTTTTTTAATCTATTTCTGTGGGAAAGATGTGAAGGTAACTGAACAAGGGATGATGTAGGTTTCTGTGCCTTCTGTTAATTAGCTCTGGAGTAGTAAAGACAGCATTCTCATGTGTTTTGCTTTTTCTCTCAGGCTGGTAAAAACACTTATCCTTCAGTAACTCATGTCTCTTCTAATAGATTACCTGGGACCTCCTCTTTTAGGGTTGATCATCTTTAACACTACTCCTGTTCATTTAGGGAGCACTTTGTTAATTCAGTAAAACTTTTTTTTTTTGGTACCAGGGATTGAACCCATGGGTGCTTAACCACTGAGCCACATCCGCAGTCCTTTTTATTTTTTATTTTGAGACAGGGACTCACTAAGGGCCTCTCTAAGTCACTGAAGCTGACTTTGAACTTGAGATCCTTCTGCCTCAGCTTCCCGAGCTCCTAGAACTACAGGTGTGCACCACTGCACCCAACAATAAACCTTTTTTCTTTATAACTTATCCAAATTTGGGTATTCTGTTTTGCAACAGAAACAAGACTAGCTGATGATACTGTATTTTATTTATTTCTTTGTTTTCTGTTCACCCACCAATACATAAATATAACAAGGGGAAGATGTGTTTGTTTTTGTTGTTGTTTAATATTTTTTTTTAGTTGTGGATGAACCTGTATTTTTATTTATTTGTTTATTTATATGTGGTGCTGTGGATTAAACCCAGTGCCTCACACATGATAGGCAAGTGCTCTGCCACTGTGCTACATAGCCCTAGCCCTGATGTGTTTAAGATCCTCTCCTGTATCCCCATCTCCTAGAAAATTTCCTGGCCTATAAAATGTGCCCAACGAGTATTTGTTGAATGCAAGACTGTAGAATAAATTGTTGGATAATAAGTTTGAACATTTTTAAAGTTCTTGATGCGCAATGGCAAATTACTTTTCTAGGAAGGTTAAAACAGTTTAGTTTTCTACCAGCTATCTGTAAAGAATACCTGTTTTGCCTCATCTTTTGTGCTGAATTAGTCTTGGAAAGTAAGTATTGATCTACTGATTCCCTAGTATTTATGGTACTGAGAAAAGCCATTAGCAAAGATGTGGCAGTATGAAACAACATGGTTAAACTCAAGAAATTACAATAATATGTACAGCTAGAATGTGTAGTTTAACAAATGACACCTCAGATCCTTATAGATAAGGGAAATCTGTGAAGAATATTAAGAGTATTGGGGATTGAACCCAGGGGTGCTATGACTAACTACATTCCCACTTCTTTTTATTTTTTGAGACAGGATCTTGCTAAGTTTCTGAGGGTCTTGAAAGTTGCCCAGGCCGGCCTTGAACTTGTGACTCTCCTGCCTCAGCTTCTTGGGTTGCTGGCATTATAAGCATGCCCCACTGAGCCCAACAAGATCTATATGCCAAAGCAGTCTGGCTGCAAAGTATTCAAGTAGTAGTTAGCTGAACCATAAGAGGTTTTGAGGTCAAGAAACTTGGAGACTAGATTGGTTATAATTTGTCTATTCTTGTGGACACAAGTCATCCATTTTGATGGTAGAAAAGGGACATTATGGGCTGGGGTTTTGGTTCAGAGGTAAAGCACTTGCCTACCATGCG